GAAGTCCACAAGTCTTAAAGTTGCCAAGGTTGGACACCCCTGGTGCAAAGGGAGCCTCTAAGGAGCGTTTTTCATGATTACGAATTACTATTTTTTTCCATGCGGTCAGTTTTTCTACCGTAAGAACCGGGCCATGGAGAGTTAAGTCATTTTGATTTCGGTGGAATAGGTTGAAAACAAAATAGTTTCTTACTGAAATTGCTGAGATCAAGAGATCCTTATCCATTCTTCCGTTTTTAGTGGTGTTTATATACAGCATGTGTCAAAGATTCAGTGCTTTGTGATTTCTTGTTTATTCTGTCTGTAAACATTCCTACATATCCATTTAGAAATTCTACTGATTTTGGAGCAGGGGGATTAGAGATGAATGCATTATTGCTAGAATTGTAGGAATAATCATTATGTATTTAGCTTTTGTCAGCTGCAATACTATTTTGATTTATGTTAATGTTATTCCCGAGTAATTTTAGAAATGTAACATATAAAAATAGGCATATATGGTTTTTAAATATTTTCAGTGAGGAAAGAGAAGACCTTCATTTCTCTCTCTCTCTCTCTCTCCTCCCTCCCTCCCTCCCTCTCTTACAGTATATATAAAATTTATCTACCTACCTACCTATTTAAGCACTCCTTTATAGACCAAATCTCAGGCTATTCAAGAACATTTTTTAATCCAGATAATTTTAAAAATGGTTTGCTTCCTATCAGAAGCAATGGTATCTCTGTACGATATTGTATATCTTTGATTTTTAAAATTGTAGTTAAGTTGGGCCCTATTATTTGCATCCTTTCAGACAGCTGTGTGAACAAAGCAAAAGTTGAAGAAAGTGAGCAAAAAGCTGCTGATTTTTCCAAAAAGGTAAGGCACCAAACAATTCTTCGTATTGCAGCCTTTGTGAAACTTTAATTGTTATATTTCTACATTTTTTTTAAAGGTCTTCGGTTTCAGAATTAAGTGTTGTTATGCTTGTATCTGAAAACAGCAAGATCCAGAAATGATAAAAATACACTTAGATTATTTAAATCAAACTAATTGTTGCGATTAATAATAGAAAGATCCCTCTGCAACCAGCCAGTTTAGAAGCTGGTGGATTTGGTGTGGTAAAAAAAAGCTTTCGTCAGTCTCTGATAGCTTGCCGTATCTTAGCTTAAAATCCTTAAATTGCTCTAAAAGGCATCACATTATCTCCTGCTCTGTCTTATTTGGAAACAGTTTTAGCCAATTCATCTCTAAGATAAATATTCTTGTTTACCTCCAACCTAATTCTATGGACAGCCAGAGGTTATGAGTTGACTTGAGAATTTTTAACTATCCCCTACTGGTGTTTCTCATCTCCAGTTAAATATTTGGCACAATTCCACATATATTAATTAGAATTAAATAATGCTTCCTGTTGCTTCACCTAATAGAGATTTATAATGGGAAAAAAGCCTACTGTTACTTCGTAAGTATATGAAGGAAACTATCTCAAGGTACTTCAGAATTGAGAAATGAATTCGATATAACTGGTCCATTTGAAGAATTTAGAACATTACATGCTGTCAGTATCACTATTGTGGACAGATTTCATGTGGCAGACAATATATCACTGCTACTAAGTGGAAGCTAAAGAGACATGAAAATATTATGGTTAGAGTGCAGTACTGCAGGCTACTTCTGCTGACTGTTGGCTATCTGCAATTTGGCAGTTCAAATCCCACCAGGCTCAAGGTTGATTCAGCCTTCCATCCTTCCAAGGTGGGTCAAATGAGGACCCAAATTGTTGGGAGCAATAGGCTGACTCTGTAAACTGCTTAGAGAGGGCTATAAAGCAATATGAAGTGGTATATCAAGGGTCTTCAAACTTGGCAAGTTTGAGACTTGTGGACTTCAACACCCAGAATTCCTGATCTAACATGACTGGAAGAGGAATTCTGGGAGTTGAAGTCCACAAGTCTTAAAGCTGTCAAGTTTGAAGATCCCTGGTGCTATTGCTATTATTCTTTGCAATTAATCGTTGTGGTTTGATTTTAGATATAAATTGCTTGGGTAAAAAAGATTATATAATTGCTCATTTCTTGTGATAGACATTCACAATTTTTATAGTGATGTTACCAGCAGTTTTACAAAGTAATATACTTGGAGCAGTTCTGGTTGAATATATCAAGACGGTTATAATGGGAAATAGCCCATTGTTACTTCATAGATATATGAAGGAAACTATCTCAAGATACTTTATGATGTGACTACCTTCCATTCCACCATGCTGGCATTATTTTAAATAGCCCATGAAGCCAGATGGATTTGTTTCACTCAGTCTTTCATTCTTATGTAGCAGTATTAAATTTGGACCAAGGTGAATGATTATTTCCATACTGGTGATCATTGCAGTTTGATGAAGAATTCACAGCTCGTCAGGAAGCGCAGGCCGAGCTTCAAATGCGTGAGGAGAAAATCCGACAACTTGAAGCTGAAATCCAGCAGTTGCGAACCCAGGTATAACATAAATTAGTGGCATCTTTATCCAGTTGAAATGACTTCTGGTTTGAAGGAGATAGGATGTTAATTGCTAAGTATAGCTTGAATAAGAAAGATTACCGATAATGTTCGGCTAGATGCGACTCGTGGGATGCTTATATCTGGCCTGTGGGGTTACCCTGGAAACAGTGAAGGACTGGCCCATGGTGCCTCTGCCAGTGAAAACAGAGCTCGGGAGGGCCGCACGTGCTCCATGAGCTCCGTTTTCACTGACAGAGGGCTGCAGGAGGCCATTGCGGTCAAAAATGGAGCTAAGGGGGGCCGGCGCGTCATTTCTCCAGCTCCATTTTCACTGGCAGAAAGCTGCAGGAAACCATCATGGCTGAAAACGGAGCTCGGGTGGGGGGCCCATGCAGCCTCCCAAGTTTTGTTTTTGGTGGCAGAGGGCTGCAGGAGGCTGTCATAGCCAAAAACAGATATTGAGCTGGCCACGCCTACCCTGGCTCCTTCGAGGTCAAACACAACCCTAATGTGGCCCTCAATGAAATCGAGTTTGACACCCCTGGTTTAGTGATTGTTCAAAGTACAGTGGCACTTGAAAGAAGTAACTTATGACCAGTTTTCACCCTTACAACCATTGCGGCATTCCCCAGGGTCATGTGATCAAAATTTAGCATGCATTTATGACAGTTGCACTGTCCTGGGGTCATGTGATTCCCATGTCAGCGTTCCAGAAAACCTCCCACTTCAACAAATAACTCCGAGACAGGCATCTTCTCAAAAGTTCTGTTTTAATTGGATAGTAAACTGACACAACTGGGGAATCCTGAATCTGAAAGTTCCGGGCTTCCTTGCAATAAGTAAAAACTACAAATCCATCCCCTACACCCATCATCACATCACATGCCCCAATCAACACCTGTGAGACTTCCCCTCACTTTTGCGCAAACTAACATGACCTTGAATTAGAAAAAGAATGTTATGTCTGACTACATACATTCCAAGAAATTCCCCCTCCCACTTTCCCAGGCTCAAAATGTGGCAGTGTGGGAGCATCTCAATGGTGGGATTCAATTTTTTTTAGTACTGGTTCTGTGGGCGTGGCTTAGTGGGTGTGGCAGGGGAAGGATACTGTAAAATCTCCAGTCAGAGGCAGTATTTGCCGGTTCTCCGACCTACTGAAAATTTCCATTACCGGTTCTCCAGAATTGGTCAGAACCTGCTGAATACCACCTCTGGAGCATCTGGTCTCAATATGGCTGCCAAAGCTGACATCCCATTTGTAATCTTGCCAGCTGGCTTCATAGAAACAAAATCAATGGGGGAAGCCAGGTTTATTTAACAATCACATGATTCACTGAACGACTGTAGTGATTTGCTTAACAGCTATGGCAACAAGGTCATGAAATGAGACCCAACTCAATTAAGAATTGCCTTCATTCTCAGCTGTGGTTGTAAGTCAAGAACTATTTGCATCTCGTTGTTTCAACATAAGCATAGATGCGAGTTTCTTCCACTCAGATGTAAATATAAACGAAAAAAAAAATGAAATTAAATACAAGAATTCTTTGGGTTCTTTTTAATTGGGTTTATTTAAAATCTGATTATTGCCTTAGTGCATGTAAATGCTTATCAAACATGCCTAGAACAACATAATGTTATTAAGACCATTGATACTTAGGATTAGATACCAGTACAGACTAAACATTGTTACATAGAGGTGTATTTAAAGTTGAAGGGTTTAAAAGAAAGCAGAACAAATTTAATCTTTAATTGTAAATTTTATAGGCCCTTTAAAAACAAAGAGTGAACATTTAGCTCTTTGATAATCTGTCGTTGGAAATTCATTTGTTCTGGCTGATTTTATGCTAAAAAAAGAATCCTAATGAATATATTTTCAATTTATGGAGTTGTTATGAAAGTATTGTCATATTGTACATATTCATATTCAGGGCATCATAATGTCTTATGAAATTGCTACAAGCTTATGTTGGTGTAGTTAACAAATTTCCCTCACGTAACCGTGCTAGTAGAAATGACGATTATTAAGAATCAGAACTAAAAGTAGGATCTTCTTCCTAATTTTCCTTCTTATATGGTTAATGTAATTTAAAAAAAAAAAGATTTCTGAGGTAGTAAATATTTAAATATGGGAACCTTAGGATGATAATTCAATTTCAGCCCGTTGGCTTCTTTTCTAACACTTCTATGAATACCATCTAGATAAAAATATCCTAAAAACCCTTGGAATGTAGTTTTGTTAATGGACCTTTTCCCTTGTTTTCAAATGCCACTTCATTAATTCTCTTGATCTGTTTTAACGTGGAGGAAGTCTTACAAAAGTTACACCTGGCACTTGCTGCTTCTTGCTGTAATGAAGGGCTAAAAATATCTGTTAAATAACTGAATTGATTTGAAAATGATTTTCCCCCCTCTTACCATATTCTTATTTGTTATGGATTTCATCTCTGTGAAACGCTTGAATAAAATGCAACAGAACATAATTGGGTGAACTTGCATTAGGACTGGGAGATATTTAGAACGAGGAGGCCTGTAAAAGAGAGAGTATTTGTAGCTCAGGATTGAAAATGAGGGGTTCTTCTCTGATCTTTGTTGTTTTCTTACAGACGTTTCCTTAACACTTTACCTACTTTGATGATGTCACCTAGTTTGGTTTAATGAAACGTCTTTAAGAAAGCAACCAAGCTCAGAGAGCACCAAGGACCTCTCAGGAGGAGAAAATTATCTGATTGCCATTTAAAGCAAAGTGATTTCTGTACTTTTAATAGCGTGTGGTTGACGTGTTTTTATCTTCCTGTCTCCTTATTCTTTTGTAGGGTTCCGCATCTTCAAGTGGTGGTGCTCCCCCTCCTCCTCCCCCACCTCCTCCTCCATTGCCAGGTGGTATGGTTCCTGCTCCCCCGCCTCCTCCTCCTCCTCCTCCACCATTACCTGGAGGTATAGCACCTCCACCACCTCCTCCTCCTCCTCCTCCTATGTTTGGAGGGGTGGGGCCACCACCACCACCTCCTTTTGGGGGGATACCTTCTGTAGTAACTGCACCAGTGCTGCCTTTTGGGATGAAGCCAAAGAAGAAATTCAATCTCGATGTAACTATGAAGAGAATCAACTGGGCCAAGGTATCTCTTATCAAACATCCTGAATGTTTGCCCTTTTGTTTTTCTAACGTCAGACAGAATGCAGGCAGTCCTTGAGTTATGATCGTTTGTTCGGTGATTTTGTTCAAAGTTATGATGGCACTAAGCAAATGAGTTAAGATAAGTCCTCAAAGTTATGACTGGTGCAGCACCTCAAGGGTCTATGGACAATATCCAGGCCCTTGGCAACCAGCTCACACTTAACACTTACGCTCACTGCTCACTCCTGCAGTTCAATTCTGAGCGGCTCAAGGTTGACTGAAGCCTTCCATCCTTCCGAGGTTTATAAAATGAGAACCCAGATGGTTGGAGGCAATAGGCTGATTATGTAAACCACTTAGAGAGGGCTGTAAAGTGGAATAAGTCGTGGTAGCGCAGTGGTTAGAGTGCAGTACTGCAGGCTACCTGCAGTTCAGCAGTTCAACTCTCACCAGCTCAAGGTTGACTCGGCCTTCTATCCTTCTGAAGTCAGTACAATGAGGACCCAGATCATTGGGGGGCAATATGCTGACTCTGTACACTGCTTAGGGAGGGCTGTAAAGCACTGTGAAGCGGTATATAAGTCTAAGTGCTATTGCTATATAAGAGCCCTGGTGGTGCAGTGATCAGAATGCAGTATTGCCCACTGCCAGGAATTTGATCCTGACTGGCTCAAGGTTAAATTAGCCTTCCATCCTTCTGAGGTCAGTAAAATGAGGGCCCAGATTGTTGGGGGCAATATGTTGACTCTGTAAACTGCTTAGAGAGGGATGTAAAGCAGTATGAAGTGGTATATAAGTGCTAAATGCTAGTGCTAAATGCTATATAAGTCTAAGTGCTTACTGCTATTACTACAACCAGTTGCAACATTCTGGACTTATGTGATCACCGACCTTCTCTTTTATAAGCAAAGTCAAAGGGGAAGCTAGTGAGGAAGCAAATTGTCTGAGTAAATTTCTCCCCCCACAAAGCACTTGCACACAAGAAAGCACCTTCTTTCCCCAGCCTCCCTGCACTCGCACACACATAAACATGGACACAACATTTCCCCTCCTTTCCTGGCCTCCCTGTGCTCACCCACATACATGCACTTTGTTCTGGGCCACCAATGGCCAGAAGAACATGGGCCAGTCCTGGAGTCAGGGGATGGCTCTGATGAGTGCTCTGCATCGGAGGCCGACATGGAGCCAGGGCCATCTGACAGTTATCAGCTGCCTTCTGATTCAGACATCAGTGAGGCAGAAGAACAGCTGGAGCCTGTTCCCAGTGTGCGTGTACACAGAGCTGCCAGAAGAAGGGAACAGCTAAGGAACAAGTGTTGACTTGGAAGTAAAGCCACAGGTGGATGGTGAATGGCGCCTCTCTTAGGGAATAAAAAAGGAGCGAAAGGGGAATGGGGTTTTGCAGGAGACAATTAGTTCATTTGGGTGAAGATCTGTTCCTGCATGCTTGCCTAGTATTGTCTGCTACAGTATGGCGTCTGAAAGATATCAGCCTGGCAACTCTCCAAGCCTGATAAAGGTCTATAATTGTGAAGTATCTTGAAAGACTGTTGGCCAGGATTTTGCTGGAGAGGAATTCACTGTAAACTAAATAAAAGGGGTTTTATCGGGACGAGGAGCCATTTAACCCAGACTATTTTTTGAACACATTTAACCCAGACTATTTTTTTTTCCTTCCCACGTACTTTCATGTGGCCTGCACTGAGCCTCCCAATCTCTCATGCACCCTCCCACCTAACTCTTCAGCACCCCTGTGCTCCTTACGTGGTTACAACGACAAACAGGACTATCTGGATTGCCGTCACTAAACAATGCATGCAACATCATGTTTAATGGCTTCATCACTTAATGACGGCAATCCTGGCCACAACTGCCATTGTAACTTGAGGACAATCTGTGATGCCTTCATGCCGATAAATTAATTTTGAATATACAAAAGAAGCTAATTGTTTTTTTCCGTGAACATTAAATATATTGATCTGTAATCCTTGTTAGTGGTTGAGGGCATTCTCAAGAGATAATATTGAAACTCTTACTTGGACTTGGACAGACATGGTCTCTGTTTTATATATCTCTATAAATATAATCTAGCATTTTCCCTCTGGTGTGACAGGTTACAGATTCAATAACATATCTTTAAAAAAAACTCATCATAAACCATTGTGGTCATAAACCAGTTTATAATATCGTATTTAATAGAAAAATGTTTCAGGCAGACTAAAGTGGTCTGTTGGGGCAGGAGATGTAATTTTGTTTTTAATAATCTTGATTTCTCCGTCAGGTGAAAGTGGGGGATACCTTAATACATTTTGCAGATGTTACATGTATAGGGAGAATAAAATCCAATAATAAAATAGATATTGCAAGGCATCTGGGGTTTATTTGGCTGGGTTTTTATTTATAATTTATTTTTCTGTGCTCTGCTCGGATGATTTAAGTTGCATCTATAAATCAGTTTATTATTATGTATTCTGCTTTAGCAAATGAGCAGTAGGAAGCTCATAATACGTACACAATATTATGTAAGTTGAGGACAGGAATGTCTGAAGATTATCCGTTCTAAGGTGTGTATTCATTAGGAATACACAGCACAACGCAACACAATAAACAATCTGCCAGACTGGTTGCCCAGTTCTGTAAACACTACTTCATATCGGGTGGGCTTCAAAAAATTTCAGCAACGGATTCTCTGCCCAGTTTCTGGGTGGACGCGGTCATGGTGGGCGTGGCCTAGTCGGCCTCCTGCACCACGGCAGGGGGAGTGTTTTTGCCCTCCCCGGGCTCCGGAGGCTTTCTTCGAGCCTGTTTCTGGCCTTCTAGAATTTCCGGGAGGCCCATTTTTTACCCTCCCCGAGCCTCCGTGGGGGCCCTGCACTTACCTGGAATCCAAAACGGCCACGTGGAGACTTCTGGGAGGGGCAGGGTGGATTCTACTTCTGGAGAGGACTCTCCTGGTGGATTCTACTTCTGCTGACTGCCGGCTGCCTGCAATTTGGCAGTTCGAATCTCTCCAGGCTCAAGGTAGATTCAGCCTTCCATCCAAGGTCAGTAAAATGGAGAACTCATATTGTTGGGGGCAGTGAGCTGACTCTCTAAACCGCTTAGAGATGGCTGAAAAGCACTGCAAAGCAGTATATAAGTCTTAAGGGCTGTTGCTATTATTATTTTTAACCTCCTTGTCTATATTTCTAGGATTTCTTGCTAGTTTCCTATGCCAAATAGTAACTAGCTCCTGTTCAGCTTTCAAGGTCAGCTTGATACCTATCAGCTAGGTAATCCCAAATATTTTGCTTGTCATCCAAGAAGTTTCTTCAGTTCAGAACTGAAGAAGCTCCTTGAATGAGAAGCAAAATGTTTTCAAAGGAAAAAATAATAATAAGAAAATGCCTTTTGGAAAAAAAGCTATGACCTGGATGATTGAGAATCTCCGTAGATTTCTGCCAGACACAACATATGATGCTATCTTATTTTTATTGAAGCAGTTTTTGCTATCATTTTTTTAAAAAAAAACAATACGTGTTTTTGTTCCTTCTTTTTAAACATCTTGTTTCTCGTTTGATGGAGACGTCTCTGAATAATTTGCTTTGATTGCAGGATGTACAGATGTAATGCCACTGTCATGATTTGTGGAGGGTTAAGTGATTTAAATTGATAGTTGTAATTAGATTCATTTTCATTGCAGGTCGAACCGCATGAAATACAAGAACACTGTTTTTGGGTAAAAGCTAAGGATGAAAAATTTGAAAATCCAGATCTGTTTGCCAAACTGACACTCACTTTTGCCACACAGAAGAAGGGTAATTATTTCTCTTTTCTTGAATGGTCATAACGGACATGTGGATTGATACTAATATTTGCATTCACAATGCCTTAGAGATCAGTGCAAAAACATATACTAATTCAGCCATGGAATCTACATTTTAGATGTAAGAGATAACACAGAAGGCAAAAAAAACAACAACATAGTATTTATGGGCTGGGAAGGAGGCAGTTGAAATAAAAGAGAAAACTGGAATCATTTTGATGGTTTTAGTATCATAAACCTAAAAACAAAAACAAAATAGAATAACAGTGATTTAAAATGAGGAAGTTCATGGAATAGAAAGACATAAAGAATGAAGGACATCTGCCAACAAATGCTCTGTCCTACACATTGGTTAAAAAAAATCTATATACCAAATACAAGCTAGGTGGACATGACCTTGTTGATGAACCTCACTCTGCCAAGGACCTTGGAGTTCCCATATCGAATGATCTAAGCGCCAAAGCTCACTGCAACAGTATTGCCAAAAAAGTTTTAAGAGTTGTAAATTTAATTTTACAAAGCTTCTCCTTTGGTAATACTGTTTTGCAAACTAGGGCATTCAAAACCTTTGCTAGACCAATACTTGAATTCAGCTCTGCTGTCTGGAATCTGCACTGTATATCAGACATAAATACAATTGAGTGAGTCCAGAAGTATTTTACCAGAAGAGTACTACACTCCTCTGCTCACAACAGAACACCCTACAGCACCAGACTTGAGATTCTAGGCTTAGACAACCTTGAACTACGCCGACTAAGATTGGACTTAAGCATGGTGCATAAAATCATATGTTACAATGTCTTACCAGTTAATGAATATTTCAGCTTTAACAACAACAACCCAAGAGCACACAATAGATATAAACTTAATGTAAATCACTCCAAACTCGATTTCAGGAAGTATGATTTCAGCAACAGAGTGGTCAATGTCTGGAACTCACCACCTGATTCTGTTGTCACCTGCTCAAACCCCCACTCCTTTACTGTCAAACTAACCTCTATTGACCTCACCCCATTCCTAAGAGGTCTGTAAGGGGCATGCATAAGTACACAATCGTGCCTACCATCCCTGTCCTATTGTCCCCAATTATTAGTTCCCATTTCTTGTATTTAAACTTACGTTTATTCTTGTTTCTGTTATATTGTAAGCTTTTGACAAATAAAATAAAAATAAAATAAATATTACATTCTCCCAAGCCAGGAGGGAACCCTAGACAGTTTTATGTTAGCTAATGGAATGAAGCTTTTATTTCCCCACTCTTTATTTTATTTTATTTTATTTATTTTAGTTTGTCAAACATTTATGAGAAAACACGTATAAGTATGGACGTAACATATAAAGATATAAGTATAAACAGGTATAAATATATACATACTAAATGAGTACGAATAAATAGGAACAGTAGGACGGGGATGGTAGGCATGCTGGTGTGCATCTGCGTGCCCCCTTACCGACCTCTTAGGAATGGAGTGAGGTCTACGGTAGACAGTTTAAGGTTAAAGTTTTGGGGGTTTCAGGATGTAACAATAGAGTCAGGTAGTGAGTTCCAGGCTTTGACCACTCTGTTGCTGAAGTTGTATTTTCTGCAATTGAGTTTGGAACGGTTTACTTTAAGTTTGTATCTATTGTTTGCTCATGTGTTATTGTGGTTGAAGCTGAAGTAGTCATTGACAGGTAGGACATTGTAGCAGACAATTTTGTGTACTAAGCTTAGGTCAGATCTAACTTCTTGAATGGAATACATTAAGTTTTTCCTTTATTAACTCAGTTTATGTTTCCTTGATGTAAAATAGAAGGTGCTGACTTTAAAATCTCACTGAATACCCTAAGATATGAAGTACATATATACACTTATTCTAGCCTTTAGAAACAAGACACATTTTTTTTGTGCGTAAATAGCCCAACATAATAGAAGGACCTGGATTACGGTAGCCTTGAATTTTCTTTCTTGCCGAAAGCAAAATTCTGGAAGTTGCTTTAGCTTAGTTGCAGTATAATTTTTCCAGGCAAGTTCAGTTAAAAATTCTTATCTGGAAAGCAGTATATGGAACTCTGCTTTAGGCTGGGCCATTTGTTTGTAGATGATGATGATTTGTTATAGCTGTCCCAGCCCAAAAAGCCTCTCAGAGGCTTACAATATCCAGCATCAAATTTAAGATTAAAACACACACACACACACACACACACATTACCACTCAAACTATAACAGCCTAGATAAAAAGAACAACCACAACAAATAAAGCAAAGAAAAAATACTCACACGACAGGCAAATAAGGCCATGTTTTAGATCACAGCTACATGTCAACATTTTGGAGTCCTAAGAAACTGGGCATCTTCTCTGGAGAGGATGCTGTTCCACAGCATGACCCCTCCATCCCAGACAAGATTTAATTGAGGGGACTTGGAGTCCCCACTCTGCCTGAAGGTTCTGGATGGGCACAAGCCATGGGAAACAAGCATATGTTTGAAGGGTTTTATGGGCGACAACCAGTGCCTTGAATTGTACCTAGAAGCCAATGGCAACCACTGCAGCTCACGGAGCAGGGATTACATATGGCCATTATATGCTTGCATTGCTGCATTTTGGACCCAAAAATGAGAGCAAGACATTGGAACAATTCCTGTTGTCGTCAATTCCCCAAGTGTTGTCTACTCTCTGATTCCCACCAGACATAGTATTGATAGTGATAGCAATAGCAATGGTAGTTAGACTTATATACCACTTTACAGTGCTTTACATTCCTCTCTAAGTGGTTTACAGAATCAGCTGTTTACAGAATCATGCCCCCTCCGCCCCAACAATTTGGGCTTTCATTTTACCTACCTCAGAAGGATGGAAGGCTGAGTCAACCTTGAGCCTGGTGAGATTCAACCTGCCAAATTGCAGGCAGCCGGAAGGCAGCAGAAGTAGCTTGCAGTACTGCACTCTAACCACTGCGCCACCATGGCTCATATAAATAAAGCCAAATGCCTTCACATTTTCCCACCCACCCACCCCAGTTCACCCCAGCCTTATTTCTTTGGTCTCATGACCACCCATCCATGCCTCCTACTACCCAATTCTATTTGCAACATTTGCATTACATCCAGTCCATTTTATTTCATCCCCTGATGTGATATAAAAGGAAACCCGTTCTCGTTATTTGTCTCCTTTTACAAAAGATTTTCAGTTATAAGCGTATGATAATAATCACCATTCAACGCGTGTCAGCATAAAGGATTTAGGGTGTGAAGACGATAGCGAAGCATCACAAGCTGTAAATGTTGTCATTTGAAACATCTGGACTCCAGTTGTTAGTTATAAATGGAGAATGAAACGGAATCTATTTTATATTGTTTGCTATGTAAAAGCGCTTTGCAGCGATTCATCCAAAATTCATACCACCCCACCCCCACCCCTGAATAAGCTGATAAGGTCCCGTTGACTTTATGAGTGACAGGAGGATGGAGTTCCCTGCTCTTCCAAAGTATCCTTTCAATCCATCACCTTCACAATTGTAAAGGCAGTCCATCAATGCCTACTGTGATAGATTTATCACCACACGCAGGGACTGAAATCTTCAGGAATCCAAACACTGATGGATGATCAAAGAGATCTTGATTATGCAAATGCACTAAACATGCTTTTAACTGCCTGAAACTGTCTTAAATTGAAACCTGGCAAAAAAAAAAAAAAATACAGTGCGGGAACTCCAAAAACACGTGATTATTTTTTAAAAATTGTCTCCAAAGTCATTGCCTTTCTGTGTAACAGTATTATATACTTACATGATTTGTAGGGTTCACTTGAATGCTCTCATTTTTTTAGGGGGTTTAATTGTGTAGGAATTTTGCTGTCTGTTACATGCCTTGAAAATGCTCTTTACGGCATTCCTGTTTAGATTTATTTAATCTAGTGGAAGACCGGCAAATCCTTCGATTGTTTTTCTTGTGCTGTCAAAGTGGAGGGGGAAAAAAAAAAGGTGGTAATTTATTCTTAGCCTCGTCCTGAGTTACTGACAAATTTCCAAATAACATTTGGGAGAACAGCACTTTTCTCTTTTTTCCTTTCTGTCTCGTGGCACAATGGCAATCTATGGTTGTATCGCTGACAAAATAGAGTAAGGTCTGGAAGGTATTTTGGAGGTCATCTAGTCCAACCCTTTTCCCAGTACAAGAAACCATTTTCACAATAAATGCTATTTGCTGTTTTAAACGCTTCCAGAAAAGAAGCGCCCACGACTCCTTTAGAAAGTCTTCATGTAGGGTTCAAATGAGAAGATTCAGGTTCCTTAGTTTTGAAGGCTGCCTTTATAATACCCAGTTTAACAAGCACTGGAAATATTTAAACCTTTTATATACAGCTATTGAAGTAGAAATAGAACGTAACATTCAAGGTTTTATAAGCAGTGGGAAAAATAGTGCATTTTCTACCGGATGTCTTTGGTTTTAAATATATTTAAATATGAGGCACAAAGAAGATTCTGCCTGAAAGTCCTTGGTGGTCTCTGGGCTTAGTTCTTTTCTTGAAGATGTTTCATTTCCAAACTTGGTGACATCAACAGTGCTGCTAAGGAACGAGGTTTGCTCTCAGTTTATATTCTGGTGGCCTGCCCTCTCAGTGTTGGTGGAAATGATTTTGGAGTTTCTTTGGTTGAGCTGTTTACTGTTAGCTTCTTTGGCTGTTACTAGATAGATAGATAGATAGATAGGTAGGTAGGTAGGTAGGTAGGTAGGTAGGTAGGTAGAGATCCATCCACAAGAGATCTAAGTCCAGTCCACCTTGAATTCCGTTGAATCTTATGTACCACCAATTTGCTTTGACCATGAGGAGTTCAGATTCTTTGAGAGAGCACTCACATGCAATAAATCTGTAGCCATTTGAACCACTTGATTCCTTAATTTCTGGCGCCTGACGTTAGACCCACTAAGTCAGGGGTGTCAAACTCAAGGCCCGTGGGGTGCTTAAATCTGGACCGTGGGGCCACCCTGGAAACAGCAAAGGACTGGCT